AAAAAAAAATTCCACCTTTGGTTCACTCTGTGATTTTAAAGCAGTGGTTCTGAATAATATTAGATCTATCTAAAGTTCTCTTTTTTAATCCCAAAGTGAAATTTAAAGTTTCATAGCAGGACATTAATCAATAATAATTTTCTAATTGTAATAATCAGAAATAAATGAAAAGTAATTTATGATATATTTTTTTTTGAAACAGAGTCTCACTTTGATGCCCTTGGTAGATTGCCATGGCATCATAGCTCACATTAACCTCAGACTCTTGGGCTCAAGTGATTCTCTTGCTTTAGCCTCCCAAGTAGCTGGGACTACAGGAGCCCGCCACAAAACCCAGCTATTTTTAGAGACAAGGTCTCATCTGGCTCAGGTCTCAAACCTATGAGCTCAGGTAATCCACTCACCTCGGCCTCCCAGAGTGCTAGGATTACAGGCGTGAACTGATAATTTTTATTTCATAAGTGTTTGTATACAACTGTCTTAGAAACTATAATGCAAAAGTCAGCTGCATGCACTTAGCTGCAAAATCACCATAATTGGGTCAGGTTCATTTATAGACTGATACAGACATATTAGTTACCTAAATACCACAGGGGGCAGTGTTGTTTCAATGTGATTTTCCTGATACAGTTGCGTTAGCTACTTAAATATCACAAAAGGCAATACTCTCAATATGATTTTCCTAAAGGTTAGCTACTCTTGGTAAAATTCTGAATAAAACAAAGTGCAAGCTCAGTGCCTGTAGCACATTGGTTAGGGCACTGGCCACGTGCACTGAGGCTGGTGGGTTTGAACCTGGCCTGTCCAGCTAAACAACAGTGACAACTGCAACCAAAAAATGGCTGGGCGTTGTGGCAGGTGCCTGTAATCCCAGCTACTAGGAGGCTGAGGCAAGAGAATCACTTGAGCTCAGGTTGCTGTGAGCTGTGACACCATAGCACTCTACTGAGGGTGACAAAGTAAGACTTTGTCTCCAAAAAAAGAGTGCAATTTTCCCTATATTAGTTGGTGCTTGCATACCTGTGAATTTACTATACATACAACCAGGCCAGGCTGGGCTGGGCTTAACTCAGTGGCTTATGCCTAAAATCTTAGCACTTTGGGAAGCCAACATGGGAGGATCACATGAAACCAGGAGGTTGAGGCTACCCTGAGCAATATAACAAGACCCCATCACTACAAAAAAATTTAAAAATTAGCTGGGCAGGGTGGTCTATGCCTGTAGTCCCAGCTAGTCTGGAGACAGGCAAGAAGATCACCTAAGCCCAGACATTTGAAGTTGCAGTGAGCTAGGATGGTGCCACTTCACTCCAACCTGGGCAACAGCATATCTCTTTAAAAAAAGAAAAGAAGTTGTGTGGGACATGGGACAATTTTTTGTATTACATGACTGGACAGCATTGAAGGAGTTAATATCGCTTACCCCTATCAAATGGCAGTTATGTGGGTTTTTTGCCTCTAACTCATCCCTTTGGCAGTCAAAAAATTTCTCCACATTTCTTTCTATAAGGTCCCCTAGAGGGCAATACCAGCCCCATTGAGAACCACTGTTCTAGACAAAACTCAACATCTCTTATCATGGTTGTACTGTCACTTAAGTGAGGTGGACTCTGCCCCACCAAGACATTTGAACGTGAGTAGAATGCTGTGCATTCTGAACTGGCCTAAGTCTAAGGAAAAGATGTACATTTATCTAAATACAGTGTAAATTCCCGTTAGCCTCCGTGATCACAAAATGGGATGTTTGATTTCTTAAATGATGAGGCTTTCATGCTTTGAAAACTTAACTAAAATTTTTCTAAAATGCATTAAACCCAAAATGAAAAATACATGAGTAAGATAATAGAGCATCTCTAAAGGTTCCATATATAGGATGGTGCCTGTGGCTCAAGGAGTCGGGCTCCAGCCCCATATACCAGAGGTGGTGGGTTCAAACCTGGCCCCGGTAAAAAACTGCAAAAAATAAAAATAAATAGACACTCTTAAAAAAAAAGTTTCCATATATAGGAAAACAGATATCTTGGAATATGTTTGCCCTGAGTAGTAGAGAAGACTTCATATATGTGTAGAAAGAGGTGGCCAACACATAGAAAATACTTTGCAAAATTTTGTGATCAATATTTTCTAAATAAAAGTACATTTAGCTGCATTTTTTCAATTTTTTTCCTGTGTATAGTGAATTTTGGGACATCCTGTGTATTAAACCATCTATGGGGACAGAATGT